GGGACGGGGATTCTGGGGCTGCCGCGCCGGGGGCGGTGGGGGGATTGGAGCTGCCCACCGCGGGGGTCAGCCCCTTCCTCTGGGCGGCCCAGCCCTCCCCGCCCGCCTGCCGAGTGTCCCTGCTGCGTCCCACCGGCCCAGGATCACAGAGCTCCGCGCCCCATCTGGGTCACCCACGGCAGCCCTGGGTCCAGGGACAGGGCTGCTGCTCCCTTCGGAGCGGCACAGTGAGCCAGAGCGTCCTGGCAAGGCCAGGGAAGGGCAGGGCAGCCCGGGTTCCCCCACTCCTGGTCTCTGGGCCACTCCTGCCTCAACCTCACCCCTGGAGTCAGGGACAGCTGGCTCTGGACATTCCATGAGGATTTGCTCCTTCCAGCCCTCCCTCCCAGCTCTTTTCCAGAGGCTGCAGCAGGATGTCTGGATGGATGTTCCCCCAGTGGCAAATCCTGCCCGTCCTGGACATGCAGCAGCCCCCAGACCCACAAGGCAGCCATGACCACAGGGAAGGCTCAGGGATCCCATCCTGCAGGGCTGAGGGCTGGTGAGCAGCTGGAGAGTTGGATGTGTGAGGGGAGCTGCTTTGTTTGGGGCTCCACAGGACTGGCTGTAACCACAGCAGTGTGAGGTGGACAGACAGGGCTGCCTGGACAGTGGACAGTGGTGTGAGAGGGACATGCTGGTACCCCAGTACTTCCCCCAAGAGATGGACCACGGTGAGAGCCCAGCAAATGCTTTATTGCCAAGGACAGCACTTCCTTCAGCCCCTGGGTGGCAGATACAGAGGCTGCCCCACTGTGTCCCACACCAGATAGGTATATAGAGACAAGAAGGTCCTGGGTGCCAAGAGCCAGCCCTGGCACTGGCGTAGGGCCACAGAGGGGATGGAGAGAGCTGGACAGCCCAGCCTGTGGGACAGGGACACTTCCCTACTGCTAATGCACTGCGCCATGCTCTGAGACCACCACCCCAAATACTGCCCATGTGGCTCCCCCCAGGCTTGGTGGTCTGCAGAGAGCCTGGGGATGTTGCTGGCTTCCCAGGAAAGATGGAGCGTTCTCAGGAAGCAGGAACAGTTGGGGGATGAGAGGAGGAGCCCTGATATCTGAATCTCCTGGGATGGCAAAAAAAAAACCTCTGTTGCCCAAGGACCCACATGGCCCTGTGCCCTGCACACGTCCCAGTGACACCCAGCTTACTCCATCATGGGTACCTGCCCCTCTGCTCCCACTCCCTGGGGCTGATTGATGCTGCCTGGGATGAGGAGTCTGCCTGTCCCGTGGCCGCCCTGTGCCCGCCCCCAGCGCAGCCTGCTCAGAGGAGCCTTCCCAGGAGCAGAGTACCAGGGGAGTTGCCCCAGGCCACCGGCAAAGCAACGAAGCCCAGCTTGCTGTAGAAGTTCAGCTGCTGCCGGTCAGAGCCGCTGACCTGGCAAAATACTCCCCGTGAGCCTGTAAGGAAGGTGAGAGGTCAGGCCTGGCACTGGAGACCCAGTGCTGGGGGCAGTGGGACCCCCTGCACAGGGGTGCCAGCCTCTCTGCTGCCCTTTGGTGCCCGTGTGATGCCTTGAGACACAGATCTCTGTGTCCCCAGTACAAGGAGAGGTCCCGGTCCCTGGCAGCTGGGGCCAGAGTGTGTCAGAGAGGCAACAGGGAGCCCCAGGGAGGGCTACCCCAGCCCCGTGTGGAGAGGTGGGGTGCAGGTGGGGCCAGCCCCTGGCTCTGGGGCAGGCAAGAGAGAAGTTGGGACAGGGTTGTGCTGGACCAAGGGGTCCTCATACCCTGGCACGGGGTGCTCACCGTTGGCCCGGAGCGCGCTGAGCAGGCAGATGGCCAGGCTGCGGCCGGGCCC